AAGCTATCCTGACAACACTGTAGCAAACAAATACTTGATTATGACTAGACAAAATCTGCGTCTGGTCACAGGCATTCTGGCTGGTCATTGCCAAGTACGGAAGCATCTCCATATCATGGGGCTGTCAGAATCCGCACTCTGCAGAGGGTGCAAACAAAAAGATGAGACCATCGAGCATATCCTTTACGATTGCCCGACGCTCTCATTTATTAGAAGATTTGTGTTCGGCGAGTATCGGCTAACACCGGCCGATATAAGAGAAGCACCTCTTGGCGACGTTGTCAACTACATTAAATCTGTAGGCTGGCTGACGAGCTAGGAGGTGCCTATCATCTTAGGAGGATGCACAATGGGCCTAATGAGGCCTAAGTGCCGTGGGGGTAACCCACCCTCCACACGTTACAGATACAGATATAGATATTATCCATACTCACAGATTAATTAGACTATTTTTTTACTTAATTTCAGTATACCTCTTACTACTAGAACTATTTTTATCATGGAAAAAAGGGGCCGTGTTTATAAAATGTGTAGTCACTCAAATCAGTAAGTGAATAAAAGGGATGTACTTTTGATTATCATGAATAATAAAGTAATAAGGTAAAAAATACAGTCCACCAGTACCGGCATTAGCCGATGAATTTACAGGGGCCAAAACCCTTACTGTAAAAAGAGGAGCTATATTTTATTCGTGCAATAAAAAATTTTCATTGTTATTATAATGCTGACCAAATTTTATAATTTGTAATGGACATTATTTTATTTATAAAATAAATAATTTGTAAGAAACATGCCTAGTGTTTTTTGCCAAAAGTATTTATTATCATTTTCTTGTAAAATCCATAAATTAAGTCTTTTAATAATATTGGTATGTACCCAAGAGACTCGTAATTATTTTTAGAATTCTGAAGACAATTTTTTTGTCTTCAATTGACCTACGCAGCGGGTTCCTCTTTTTTGTTTTTTGTTTTCGGTTTTCCGCAGATTTTTCAAATTTTGACAGCTCAACGGGCTAATTAACCTTCACATTCAGATTCAGCGGATTGAAATACATACAAATCATAATTGATCTGGGTTCACAACAAGTTTTTCATCGGTGTAACCGCAGTTTTTCGTAATTTTATGCCTTTTTTGGGTTTTTTAGCATTTACTCTGGAGGGTGATCAGACCAAACGGACCTCAAATTCGGATTCAGCGGGTCGAAATACATGTTCATAAATGGGTTCGGTCGAATGCAAAAACAACTTTTTTTTGTGTGCCGGTGTAATTAACCCTATATTCACAAGGATTTGTAGGTTTAGGGATGTATCCATGCAGCGTATGGGCATTCCTTAATGATATACCCTGTATAAAAATGATAAATTTGGATAAGTTTATAAAATTAAAAGTAATTTGCCGATAAGTGGAAATTTCTTTGTCGGTCTAAGTCTAAGGAAAACAGTTATTAAATTCACTGAGTCAATAATTAGATAGATATGGTTCATTAAAATATTTTTTTCGGTCGCTGCTCATTAACTTCAATAATGGAAATAACATTGAAAATTTTAACAGGAATGTAAAATTATATACGGTTCCAAATACTTTAATGAATCTACCATTCAATTCGTTACACGTTTAAAAATAAATTTGTTTATTAGAATAAATTTAAATTCTCAAATATGACCAATTTAAAATGAAAACAAAGGAAAACAGAAAATATCAAGGTCCCTTTCACAGCAAAGTAGAGCGAGCCTTTATCTCCTGAAAACAACTACTCCCTTGGAAAATACCGGAACATTCATTGCATTATATCAAAAGAAAAAAAGCAGATATAGAAAATAAGAGAATTAGTAACCTTGACTTAAGTATATCTCTTATTTTCCACCTCTGCTATTTTCCTTTTGATATAATGTAATGTCTCTTGCGGTATAAACCAAGAGAGTAGTTGTTTTCAATAGGGAATAGGGCGCTAGACTTATCTGTTATAGTCTTTTAGATTTTCTCTCCTCCTTTGTTTTTCCTTTTATATTGATCACATTTGAGAATTGAAATTTATTTCCTCTAATAATTGCCAGTCTGATTTTTACTCCGCCTTGTTCTAGAGAACTAGGTACCACAGCTAGCTTTAATTTTGCTAAGTGCAGATGGCGTTACTATTTTTAACTCGTTAACTACCTACATTTTCTTAACCAACTTTAATGTATGAGTAAAGATAACACATCATGCACATGATACTAGGACGACCAGATAAGCTCACTTGGGGTACGACTTTTGAATCGAGTCGCGCATGACGTCATCGCGTGACAAAAGTGTTGGTGATATACAGGAACGCAAGAGAGAGATAATCTATTTGTTCTGGTATCATGCATCCTGCATCATGCAGACTTCATTAGAGAATGAACCTAATTCTTTCCGATGAAGCCTAATAAGACAAAACCGATCCAAGAAAGACGTTCTCCTTAGGAAGCAAAATCAAAGGTAGAGTCTTGAAAATAATTTTTTCTACACCTACATTGATATTAGCTAACGAAAAGTATGGTATTTCGTTCAACTGAACGAATATATTTCATATCCATTCTAGGTAGTGAGATCTCTGAAAAAATTAAATCCACCAATCACAGTTTATATTTTGAACACCCAACTACTAATATTTTACATTTTTAAATAAGTCACAATCCTGCCAAACTAATTGTTAGTATATTTTTCAGTTAATGAGATTAAATATACATTAAAACGAGTTATTTTTGTGTAGAATCGATAAATAATAGCATTTTTATTTTAATTTGGTCCACATTTAAAAAAAACATAAATTTTAATCAAACTATATGAAACTTATTTATTTACAAGTATTAAAACTAAAATTCAAAAACTGGCGGTGGAGCCTTTAATGCGAAAAGGCCGGGTTCGAATCTGGTTTGGGGACCAATTAAATAAATTGTTTATTTTCTATGTTTATTTTATTTTATTTTATTTTATAAATTAGAAAAATTCATAAATTATTTTAGAATTAGTTATTTATCTTAATAACCTAAAATATTTTTTTAAATTTTCGATAGTGAGTCGTAGAAAAAATATACTGTGCAACTCTTGTTAATATCCATTCTCTATCTGTTATTTTCCCTTTGATATAATGTAATGCCAGGTGCGGTATTAGCCAAGAGAGTAGTTGTTTTCATGAGCAAAAGGTCGCTCGACTTTTTTGTGATACGGACTTTGAAATTTTTTCTTTCTTTTTTTTAATTTGTGTATGACACGGACTGTGTATGTTACTCTTAAAACAGCTCATTAAAAAATCTTGCAGAAGTAATTTATAGTCAATCAACAGATCTTTAAGTCTTAGCTTTTAAACTTACTTGTTAAGTTGCCAATAAAATTACTTCTTATTAATATTTATTAATTTATTTTTAGGTACAAATATTCCTAATTCTAGAACAGTTTTCAATTGCACTTAGCAATTGTTTATCTCTCAAGGCCAGCCAACTTAAAAAAAAATTATTGAACTACATGTTATTTCCAGTAGATTCTGCAGGATTGGTATTTAGAGTCGGATAAAAATAGAATAGATAGGAATATCAGCTGGTTGCAAGAATTTTGATTAAAATGTATTAACACTATTAACCCATTAACTTTGACAGAAATTGAGACTGTGGTATTTTGAATGACATGAACTGCAAATTATTTTCATCAAAAATTATCATATTCGTAAATTTTAATGCTTAGCTTTGGATAAAAATTAAGTTCTTAACTCTGACGCGATGTAAATATAACATTATTGGTAGGTACCTCTATTTTGTACTAATTTAATACCAGTCTTATATCTGAAATAAATTTTATTTGACCAAGTGATAAAATGTAAATTACGTTTTTATGGGCACCTGTAACCTAGCCAGCTTTTCAAGAATCCGATTTTTTAAGCTTTCAGACTAAGAGGCGTCGAAATTCTAAATATAAATTTTTGCTGGAATGTTTTGATTACGACAATTTTACAACCGTTCTAATTTCTAAAAAGGTGTTCGGTTGGTTCATAAGAAAAAAAAAATACACCAAAGCTAAAAATTATAAATGATAGAAACGGAAAATCTGTAATTAAATTAAAACGAATGATTTAAAGAAACAAAATGTTTAAGAATACCCGTATCTCAAGAAACCAAATTGACTGCCCAACCGATAAAATGACTTGATCATTAACATATTTGAAATGAAAATTAAGCACAAAATCCATACCACAACATAATTGTATTATAAAACGGCTAGTTTCGGCCTACATAACCATCTTCAGGCCTACAATAAGAAAACACAACAGAAAAGATAGAAAAGATGGTGAAAATAACATTACAAATGGTTACTTACATAAAAATTTAATATAGTAATCTTATAATCCAAATCCATGAGTAAGCATAGTAGTGGAAGTTATGTGTAATACCTAATTGAGGAGTTTGCTGTAAGAAGGGAGCAGCTACATTTTTGTGTCATTTTGAGTTAAAATTGAGGGATGGACTGATACAAAAACGATTCAGATCCGATAACAAATTAAGAAATTATAAGCACTTATGTTTCAGTCTTCTCAGTTGTTTGATGCAAGAAGGCTGCAGCTCTAGAGCTGCATCATTTTTGGACCAAACGATCGTGTGTGTTCATTGTCTTTCATGGAATGCAAGGTTATTTTCGGTCTGCATTGCGGCCGCGACTGATTTATTTCTACCTGTCGCATAAATGCTTTCCATTCGTTGTTACTGTAATCTGGTTTTCCCGTTGTTTTGTTTTTCGTTGCTGCTTTTTAAAAATGAGTGAAACTGAGTCAGAGCATTTTAGTGATAGTGGCTCACCACATTATGAGCCTTCAAGCTCTGACGAAAGTTCTGATATTGATGTCGGAGGACCTTCATTTAGAAACAAAAAATATATATCTGACCAATCCACTGAAACCGTTGACAACAATATGCCGACGGAGTAGCATACAGTCCCTGCAACAAAAAATAGAAACAGGGCTGCTGCATGGAGAAGAAATGTTAATGAAAAAGATGTTGCAGAAGGAAAAATGTTTACGAAGTGAAGAGGAGTTCAGAAGGGACCAAGGTCAACTAGATCAAACTAAAACTGTAGGTAAGTGTTTTCAGAGGGTGGATGAAGAAACAAGAAACGTTGTCCTAGAAAATTTCAACAAAATAGGCGACAAAAATTTGCAAAATACCTATTTAAGAGGGTTGATTCAAACTGCTGCCATTCAAAGAACTCGAAAAAAAATTGATCAAAGACAAGTGCGTACTTGTTCTCACAAGTATTTTGAAAGAAACGTATATACCTCATTGCTCAAAGTTTTCGTGGCATAATAATCACAGGACCAACTAGTAACAAGGGAAAACATGAAAATAGACCTAACCAGAAATTAAAGGATATACTGCAAAATTTGAGCATGCATATCAAGAGCTTTTCAAGGCGCGAGTCATATTACAGTAGAAACAAGTCTCGTCGATTTTAGTTGTATTCAGATCTAAATATAAGAAGAATACATGAGCTCTACTTGGAACTTTATGAACCGAAAAGTACAGTGACCTTAAATGTACCATTTGGAAACGCGCGACAAACGACAGGAGACCTAGACAGCAGTAAGGCGGCAAATATTGTCATAATAAATATGCTGTCGTTGGTCGCGTCTACCGAAAAGCGTCTCCCTTGCTCTAGCTTCATATTTTAAAGTCGGTCTCGGTCTCTGCTTGCGAAATAGTAGCTTAAATATAAACCCATAGTGCCCTATGAGTTTTAATATCGATATTTTAAGGAAAACCCTAACTACAGTTTTGGCTCATCTCGCTAATACGTGCAAAAATTGTAATATCTTGCATAACAAACTTAAAGATGTGACCCTTGATGAAAATGAAAGAAAAAAATTAGAAGCGGGAAAACAGACTCATGAAATTAAGGCCGATTCCGTTTTTAAGGAGCTGAATAAGAAAAGAGAACGATTAAGTCGAAGTTTTGACATTTGACTTCCAGCAAAACCTTCCTCTTCCAAAAGTTTCTGCTGGGGAAGCTTTTTATAAATGACAGTTGTGGACATATTTCCGAATAATGTCAAAGTTTTATATCTCTTCTCTGATAATGCTGCTGATCAAAATAAAAACTCTGTAGTTACTCAGTTTTTGTATTTGCTCGTAAGAACTACGTCTATTGACAAGATAGAACACCGTTTTCCTGAGCCGGGACTCAGCTTTCTCCCATGTGATCGGTACTTCGGAGTTATTGAGAAGTTTTTGAGGAAGAAGGACTACGTTTACAGCCCTAGACAATATGCAGATTTTTTCAAGTAATCACCCAAAAAGTTCATCCCTATTCTGGTTTAAAAAAATATGATCCTGAACTTCAGTGGTCACTATGATGTGACATTTTAAAAAAGTGATCTTAAATGAGGATAGGCAAAGGTTCAAAATGTCAAAATACCGCATTTTAATACTAAAAGGAATGCTTGGATAGTATCAAAGTTAGTGTATCTATTGGCCTTCCGATTTTTCTATTGAGAGATCTTGAAATCTTAGTTTTTTCTGACATTCTATTGTATGACCAACACGATTCGTTCTAATGGAACAAATGGTTTTCTGTAATTGCCTCAGAAGTGAAGCTGTGGCAAAGACCCAGGGACCCAAAACATCTGGAACAGATGATGATTACCAGGTAGATGAATGCAGTGTATGTTTTTTTTTCGAATGTTTATTTTCTTTTATTTTTTTTTATACCACCCTGCGTATTTTTATTTATTTTTTTTTGTATTTGGTGATCTTTATTCTTTTGACTTTTTTTTACTTAATAAATTTTTCTATCAATTTTATTATGTTATTTGTATTTGAGGCCCAAAGATGGTCAAGTAGGCCGAAACTAGTGGTATTCTGCTTTAGTATTATTTGTGTGTACTAACTGAAAAATTAACCAAAGTAATAGAAAGAGAAAATACAAAGTTAACACAAACCATTACAAGTAAACTAAGTAAGGAACTTGCAGAAGTAAAAGAGTTACTAGTACAAGAAAGTAAAAAAGTCAAAGACTTAGAAAGTGAAATAAAGGAGTTGAAAAATAGTAATAAAAAACTAGATAAGCAGCTACGAGTCAATAATATTGTAATTTTTAATTCCCAATTTTCCGGTAACAATCTGTTGAACTATACCTTAGAACTACTAAATACTAAGCTGGAGCTAAACCTTGGTGAAAGTGACATTAATGCGATATACACATTTGGAAAAAATAAAGACAACAAGGCAATTTTGGTTAAATTTGTCTCTTATCTTACTAAGCAGAAGGTACTTAAAAGCTGCGGCAAACTAAAAGGGACGGACATACGTATATCAGAAGAACTGTCACAAGAGGAAAGAATTGTTAGGAATGTGTTATTGCAAAAACTAAAAGAAGAAAAAGAAAATAATAAAAAAGCACATATCTATGCCCAAAAATTATTCGTCGACGGTGAAGTCTATACATATGAAGACATTATCAAGAGTCAACTTGCTGCTGAGAATTTGCCAAACAATAAAAACAACAATCAAAAACAAACCATAGAAAATAATACAAATCAAGAAAGAAAAAAGGAAAACGAGCCAGAAAATCCGTTGGAAACCCTTACGAAGAGAATAGCTTCTGACCTCGCATCTGGAACAAGACACTCACCTAGATTTCCTCAAAATAAAACCAATTAATTTATAGCTGTAAATACTAACCATATTATAGAAATTTTAAATATTTTATTTTATTTCATATATTTAACTGTTTATTGTTTAATATTTTGTTGTTCTACGTTCTAACTATTAAAATAATACTAATTTAAATAATAATTTTTACATATTTAAATAAAACATTCTAGAGTGATTCTGATTTCAACATGAATAACTATCTTCTAGATTTCAAAATCTAAAAGGTTGACACCAAAGAGATCCAAGATCCCCCAGACTATAACAGATACACTAAGGAATTTAACAAAAACCAAAGCATATCTATATTTCAAATGAATGTACGAAGCATAAATAAAAACTTCGACGAATTAAAAATACTCTTGAACCAGGTAAATGTAAATTTTGATTTTATTATATTGACTGAAACACGACAAATCCCCGACAGCTCCTTATATCACCTGGATGGTTATGACTTGTTTTACAATAATGGTAATTTCAACGAATGCGACGGTGTCATAATCTTAGATAAACAAAAATTTAACTGCACATATAAATTAGTAGGCCTTACTGAAATGATCATTTTAGAACTTAGCGGAGTAGCATATAATAGAAGTATAATAATAAATGGAATTTATAGACCCTGCCCTTCGAATGTAGATACTTTTATAAATGATTTAGGAATATATTTAAATCAATGCAAAAAATCTGATATTCATTTATTAACAGGAGACATTAACATTGACATATTAAGTCACAATCAGCATTATGTTCATGATTACTTAAACATGATAAACGAAGAGGGTTTTGAAAGCCTAATTAACAAATACACTAGAGTAGTCGGAAAACAGAAATCGTGTTTAGATCATATATTCCTCAAATCTAGCATTAATGAATCTAAAAACTTTCCTATAATATTCCAGACCAACATTACGGACCATTTTTCGGTAACAAATCACCTTATTCTACCTGAAAAAGAAATAAGCATTCCATTAGAAAAACTAAAAATAATTTTTAATTAAAGCAAATTTAAAAATAAAATAAAACAAGACAGTTGGTTAGAACTTTTCTCTACTAGTGACGTTGATGATTGCATGAACATTTTTATTAATAAAATCAAATCTTATATTGAAAATTGTAGTGAGAAAAAGAAAATAATACGAAGTGAAATAAAACGTAAAAACTGGATCACACCAGCCCTTATAATTTCTGTTAACGAAAAAAATAGATTATTTAAAATTATGAAAAATAACTATACCCCTGAAAATATATCTAACTTTAGGAAATATAGAAACCATCTAAATTTACTGATAAAACAAGCAAAAACTAATTACTATAATAATCAAATTGAAAATAATAAAAACATAAGCAAAAAGTTATGGGAATGTGTTACGGAAATCACAAGTTTAAAGAAACGCAAAAAACCAATATCAGAAATAATAGCACCAGATGGCACCGTAATAGATAACCCTAAAAAAATTGCTAATATTTTCTATGAACACTATACTGAGGTAGGAGAAAAAATGGCAACAAAAATCAAAAGTAAGCGACAAACACAAAATAATATCAACCAAAAAAAAATTAGTCAAATTTTCCTAGCTGAAACTGATACAAAGGAAGTATATGAAACTATTATGAATTTAAAAAACAACAAAACACCAGGGTTAGATGGAATTCGTTCAGAAATTCTTAAATTGATAGGTAAAGATATAGCACCGGTACTAACATTTTTAATTAATAAATCAATAAATCAAGGTAAATTCCCAAACCAGTTGAAAGTATCAGAAATAATACCCCAATTTAAAGATGGGAATGTCTCAGAAACAGCTAACTACCGGCCGATCTCATTAATTTCCAACATTGGTAAGGTGTTCGAGAAAATATTACATAAAAGGATTATGTCATTTCTAAAAAAATATAATATCTTGTCTCCCAAACAATATGGATTTAGTGAAAATATGTCAACATCAGATGCAATAACCAAATTGATAGAAATGATAAACAATAGTATAGATAAAAAGCATCCATGCATTTCAATATTTATCGATTTGGCTAAAGCATTTGACTCCGTTGATCATAAACAACTGTTGTCAATTCTAGAAAATATTGGAATCAGGGGAAAGGCATTTAAACTGATTGAAAGTTATTTAAATAATAGAATGCAATGTGTAAATATTAACGGAACCCACAGTAATTTCAAAACTATAAAGTATGGAGTGCCTCAGGGTACTGTTCTAGGTCCTGTCTTTTTCAATATCTACCTAAACGATATATTTTTGCAGAATACAAAGGGAGAAATTATTAGCTTTGCCGATGACACTGCCATTTTCTATAAAAATAATAACTGGATGGACCTTAAATCAGATATTGAACATGATTTCATAAAAATAATAAACTTTCTTGAAACTAGATTGCTCACGATAAATTATAAAAAAACATTTCTCGTTCCATTTACCTCATATAGCACAAATCTTCCACCTTATGCTGAAATTACAATAAATAATACAAAAAATGAAGTATTTACTATTAAAGTAACGAAAAAAATAAAATATCTTGGGATATATCTTGACCATTTGAGATGGGATCATGAGATAACGTATTTAATA